ACTTTCTCACCTGCTTTATTTCAAATCTCCTAACGGGAAAACTAAAGCGTATTTTGTCCTCGTTAAGAAAGAACATCAACCTGTTAATGTTTTGATTTTGAAAAGTGCAGTGTTGAGAAAGTATCGCCATGCATACAGTGACAAAACACAGAGCATGTCTAGTTCCACTGGCTTGAAGAATTACTTCACATAGTGGGGCTTGAGGGGCAGGTTGGATGGGCTTAAACTTTGCATGAAGCGGTACTGACTTTGGTCTTTTCCAGTCACTAACAGCCAAAGACAACCTCATGATGTTGACTGGGACATCGGCCAACATGTGGCTGGCCTGCCTCGGCTGGCCAAAATATATAGGAGATGGTGTGTGCCCCTTAAGGCTACTACAGACTTTTCAGTAATCTTCCTATATTCTTGGATTTTATTTTTCTTGTATTCTTTTAGATCATATTCCTATATTTTGACAGTTTACTAGTTGCACATGTGGATTGTCCATTATATTCTTGTATGCAAAAGTTCCAAACATGTTGATATTAGCATCACAGCCACTAGCTAAAGCTACATGGTAATAAGAAATCTACTGACGTTCGACCTGTTTTGCACACATCTCTCTATTTCTGTTTTTATTTATTTTTTAAATAAAAAAGCTAACCAGCATCTGTGATAACATTAGTACACATTTGGTTTGACTTTACTGGTTATTTGGCAAACTCGCGGTGACAATGTTACTGCTGCATTTCAAAAATGGTTTTAGCACAAAACCTCCTGTCAGGCAACTTGTCGTTATTACCTTCAGAAATTCAATTTTATTTATATACAGTCTTACTTACTTAGTGATTTTGGTACAGTAGGTGCTTGTGGGTATAATTGTTACCTTTGCACAGAGCAGCCAGACTAGCTGTTTGCTCCTGTTTCCAGACGTTATGCTAAACTAAGCTAAGCTACATGTCTACTGGCTGTAGCTTGCTGTACAGACGTGAGATTGGTATCAATCTTCTCATCTCACTCTGCAGAAAGCAAATAGTTGCATTTTGGCTCTTTTGTAACTACATTTCTATGCTGGAGTTTACACTTTTTAAAAAACTTTTCCTCTCGTTCTGCTTCACACAATCATCCTTCCGTCCTCCTCTTCACCTTGTCCCCCGGTGTCTGGCACGCGGCAGGCATCCGGAGAATGCCCGACATGGGGTTTGGCCGGTCGGCCCCACATACCTGCGGCGTGGCATGGCAGGGCTTTAGGGGAAATGTGGCGCATGTGCCACTCAGCAGCCCTGCCTAATGTCCAGTAAGTGGCTTCAGACAGGAACACTAATCCACTCAGTGATGATCAGCAGTCTGAAGGCTCTGCTGCAGGCTGCCAAGACTGTCCGAGCCCACTCTCAGTTTCAGACAGAGCCCAGTGTTCTTCAAAGGGAATCATTGCAACTTTAATAAAATAGCATTTCCTTTGCAGGTATTTGACTGTGGTGAATCAATTTGTTCTTGCTTTTCCTCTTTCTTATGAAATATATTTATTGTCAAAATGAAATAGGACAGTGAACTCTCATGAAGTAGAGGACATATGAAAGGAAAGCATGATGAACTGTGAGAAGACCTGCATTTGTTTTAACAGTTAATACATCATTTTAATTTTTGTATTTTTTTGTATTTGTATTATTATTATTATAATTTGTGTGAATCTCTACTGTCCTGTTTTTCCCTCTCACTCTGTTGCTGTTTTAACTACTGAATTTCCCCATGGAGTTCAACTTTAAGTGATACCACAGATATTGGTGACATCATCTCAAGTAAGCAAACCCTAAACCTATCTAACCCTGATATTTGCATTTAATTCTCCCTGAAGTAACATTTTAAAAGTATGAGTCTAGATGTTTTTTGCAGGATTATAGCCTACTGTTAATTAAAAAAAGAAAACATCACGTGGCAGACGTTTTTGTTGCCATGTCACTTGCGCAGATTGGACCACTGGAGCTTTTCTCTTGTCCATATGTACACACCCCAAACAGCCATTAAACTACAACTGTAACATTTAAAATCCTGATTTTCTTCTGTAATTTCCCTCTATTTCTTTCATAATGCCCCAGGATAGTTTTTTTAATCAAGATGAAATATATTCAACTTGAGACAACTCCTTTCCCCCCTCATAACCCTATAGTCAAATATGTGCTTATTTCTACACACCTGCACCTTTTTAATGCCCTGTAATGCAATTTTGCTCTAAAATTCATATTGCATTCTGTCTGAACACAAGGTACCATGCCCAGAAGGTTGGTCATTGTCAATCAATCAAAGTTCATGTCTATAACCACATAGAGACAAAATGATAATACTATGGTTCAATATTGTTTCACACTAATCAATACTTTGTTCAAAAGGATTATACAATGTTTTAGATAGAATTTGCCATGATCATTGGACACATTTTTTGCAAATGAAAAAAAAGGAACTATAATTTTAGATCATTAAAATGGGATTTACCAGAAAACTCGAAATAGGTTCGGTATTATCTTGAATTTGGTTATAACAGCGTATACCTGATAACCATACACACACATGCTCACAAACTTACATACACACTCATCTGTCGTCCACCCTTTAGTCCAGCTATTCAGCATTATAACTTGGCTGTTTTTGTAACAAAACAAGGCCTAATCCTAAATTCAGGGAGCTGTGAATGTGCCTCAACAAATGGCAGACAAATGAGAAGGATTAGCGAGGGCCTGTGAAAGAGTGAAAGGTTTGCCATTGATCTACGGTGGTCCTGTTCTCTTTCAGGGCCACTCGGTCTGAAAACCCCACTGAGTAAGAGCATACAGGGCCACTCCAGAGCCCCCTAGGCCACCGAGAGACACACAACAGCCACAATTAGTCTCAGGAGCTGTAATGGCAATTCAATAAGCGCTTTAAAATTGTGCCTTAGTCCGTCTGCCACCCCACAACCCCTCCCAACCCTTCCATTTTCGTCTACATACATAAGATTGGTATTATGAGTGGCGAGGGGCTCTTTTTTCTTTCCCACCCACCACAGTTCTTTTCAGTCGCTGTGAGAGAAAATGACCACACAGGGTTTCAAAGGTTCCAGAGGCTGTGGTTTGTTGTCGCTGAAGCAGCATGACTTGTGCCCCTGTAGATTTTGGCTAAGGCCCTCAAAATGGGCTTCTATTATTACTTTTTTCTGTCACTCAGATACAAATGAATTTTGAAGCAGTCAATGTAATCTTCTCTTTACAGACTGCTTTTATTGGGTCATGAGGTATACCTTCAAACAAGTAATGTTTTCTTGCCTGTGCTGCTGTGAAGATGTGCTGCACTGTGTCATGTTTTAAGAGGGCCGACATTTCCAGAAAGATTTGAGGCCTTAGCAGAAATGTAAAGATGTGACGTGCCTACCAGGTGCTTTCTGACAGACAGTGAAGCGACAACATCATTGCATGACTCACTCTCTCACTCCTCCACTCACACCGATCACATCAAACAAAACGCAAACACCTGTGCTCCTGACATCAACACATCATGGCCGACCAGGAGCTGAGGATGTCTTCTGGATGGCTGTCATTTCCATTCTCCTGGGCTCTTTTTGGGACATTCCTCATTGATTTTGCACAGTGTTTAGGTTTTTCCTTTCGCCTCATGATCAAAGGCCAAAGCTTTTGATCAGGACTTCCAAAGGATCCCTCTCGTTTTGCTGGCGAGCAAACTGACAGGACAGTGGTGGAGCAATGCTAATTACAGTTCCCATTTGGTGTCCCTGGACCTGGCACCAACCGGCAGTCGCACCCTCAGGCCAAGAAGAAAGGAGAGATCTTGGACAGTTAAAAAAGGAGAGAGGATAAGGAGAGGAGAAAAGATGGAGGACACTCTGACAAAGAGGCGAGTCAATCGACAGAACAGGCAGAAAATGGGATTACTTCAGGCGTGCATGTTTGAGTGTGTCTACTCCAGCTGAAGGTTGGATAACGATCATATGTTCAGAGACACCTACAAACCTGTACTGTACTGTATTTTGTACAGCTATATATTATTCTCTTACAACAAGAGAGCAAAAATGATAATATATAGATGTTGTCTGTTGTAGCACAAAGACTGTTTAATGGTGGGCTATTTCTTATACTTTGATTTGACATTTGTACATGTGAAACAAGCAAGGTGTGCTTTAATTATTAGCTCTACAGTTGTTGGTTGGCTGATTTTGTGAAATTTGGTCCGGCACCTAACTTCCTGTCTGTCTGCTAAGCTAAGTTAACTCGCTGATACCTGCAGTTTTATATATAGCGTGCAGACATGAAAGTTGGTATTGATCTTCTGACCTAACTCTGGGCAAGTAAGCTACTACGTAAGCATATTTCCAAAATGCCAAACTTTTACATTACATTGTATTTTACACTTAAGATACAACAGCAACAAAAGGAATATTTACAAAAGGACTAGTCTTTACTTTTCAAAATGTAAAATCCCTCGAGGCTACACAGCTGAAGACAAAGACATTTGCATGGCAACCATACAGCCAGACCCCCCATACTGATATTTGTATGCTGCACCCAGACCTTTGGATCTGAACTACAGTGTGACTTCACGCCATTTTGACCAGACATGTACCCCGTCACAGTAATCTCGCATTATGACAGGCTGAAAGGTTGGCCTTTATTCACCCCAAACAGCCACTATTCATCCCCGACTCCCTTTCTGTTCACTGAAAGGACCAAGTGGCCTCCTGTGCCACTGTGGGGCTCGTCTGTGTGTAAATGACCTTGATGCTCGGGTGCATAGTTCATAACCGCGGAGCTTTCATCAGACACGGGGAGGTCCTCCACATCAACGCCTCTCCTGCTGCGAGTTTTGTCATGATTATGATGAGGAGTGGGATTATGTTGGGGAGCTCTAATGGAGATGTTAGCAACGCTCAACAATCATTGCCACGCAGGCAATAAGATTAAAATGCCATTTCTGCACTTTATAATTTAGAGAGATGATTTTAAAAAGACTTGCTGGTATACTGGAACCATGACTCGTGATTTATCCACATGTTTTATTGAAGTTTACCAAACTCAGAATAGACCAAGGCACTCAAATGATTTTACTTTTCTGAAATAAACCTCAAGACTGTTTGTTCGGAGCCTTTGGCCTTATATACAACCTACTATTACTGGCCTATAGCTGTAAGCTGTTTATTACAAGTGGATCACAAATGTACCGATATCCAGTAGTAATACCATACAAAATAAGCTGAATATGGACATTAATACGATCACTTTTTTCCCATTCTTTTTTTTCAATAGGACTACAATCCAACACAAAACGTCGACAATAACAATATACATCAACTTCAAACAGTTAAAGAGTACAAAATGTTTTAAATATATTAAATGATCTATTAGCAACAGCCTTGTTGAGAAAATGTTAGCAAGACTTGAGAGGGAGACAGTTTGTAATTACCATTTACTACAAAATTAATGAAGCTGCTGCTATGTGACGTCTGCTTAACCTATGGCTGCTATAATGCATTAAATGACTCAAAATGTACATCGTTATTTCACAACTGAAAGAAAGACCAACAGTCAGAGACTAAGCATCTTTCTGATACAGACTCCACCTCTATTAACTGTTGGTTATTTGAATGGGTGAAGCAGTTCGACAGAAACATGCACAAACATACAAGGTTCATCTCGGAAAGTTCAGCACGTTATCCCAGTAGTTAGCTTAGCTTCTGTTGTGTTCTCCAGAACAGTTCTTTTATCAATGCGTCAGCATCTCTTATCCAGTCGTGTCAGTACAGTATATCCCAAACAACAGTCAAGATGTAAGATTTGTAGTGGCCATAGCCAAGACTTTAAGAAATACTCATTATTTGTAAATCTCTTTTTTTGTTGAATTACTCTTCACAGCTTTACTCCACATTAATGTAATTCTAGTAGGGAAATGTTGTTTATTTATTTCTTCAATTTCAATGGCCTAAAAGTAGTCAGATAGCAGATCAAAAAATGACTTGCTTGCTATATTGATTATTGGAATACTGTTTATACATGTGATTAACAATATACAGCTTGAATTTGTTGGTGATATAGTGCAAAACATCTCCAATGTTTTTATTTATATGTTAGATTTCACATGTGAGACATTGAAAAGTCAATTAATATGTGAATTTCTCACATGTTTGTAGTCAGAATATGTTAAATATGAGAAATGTGTTTAAAATGACGCATTGTAAAAATGTAATTGTAGAGTTTGACCCCATCCCAACAGTAGCTATGGCCCTGATTTGTAGCTACTTCAAAGTTGCACCTTTTGTTGCTTTAAAGGGATAGTCAAAATAAAAATATATTTTTGTTGAACCAGATGCTTATTTAGCTGAGCATCTAAAATGGGTTAAATAATAAACCAGTGAGCCGCATTTGATTTTTTTCCACGCCTTGCTGTCCCTTTACAATCCTTACCCATCACTTTACATGCAGTCAGACTGAGACTGTCACCAGACAGATGCCCGGAAGTAGTATACATACTGTGTATTTACTCTATAGCTGAACATCATTAGAAAATTGAGAAAATAACTTAAAAGTACATATTATACTAACTCTACAAATGTTACAACCCTTAACAAATGTACATTTATGTGACAGGAGGATGGAGTAATAAAAATAAAGATGGCCGTCATGGCTTTATCAACACTAGTGTGAGTCAGCCATTTGCTGGTCAGAGTTCAGAGGTGGACAGCTAAGAGGGGAGCATGGGCAGGAAGTGAGTGGACGGATGTCTTCGTCGAGCCTTGTGACCTCGCCGAGGCTTCCCGCGCCCGTTCAGCGAAACAAACATCTGCCTGCCACCGTGCTTCCAGCGGAGCGAGGCGTACGTGTTGTACCCGTTCTCCTCGATCCGCTCCTTGAACTTGCAGCTGGGGTTGTACTTCACCTGATCACAGGGAGACAGACGGGTTAAAAAGGTTATGACAGATGCTTAAATAGCTGACTGATAGTCCTGCAGTGCTACAGTAAGCCAGAGTCCATAGTGTAGTGCACTGTTGTTTCAGTGAAAGATTTCCCAGGGCTTGATAGAGTTTTTACATCAAGAATGTGTCTTTTAGAGGCCACGATAGAAGTCTTTTGTCTAGAATTTTAAAGGGTTTGTTCATTCAAATTGCATAAAAAAACATTTTATGTCTAGCCTTGCAGATAGTTTCGGGGTTATGATCCATCTCTGAAATGTATTTTCCATTGACCCCCTAAATAGTTTATGACAGGGGAATTTTGTTTGTGCTGTTCCAAGCATTGAAGAATCAAATGCAACTTCCAGAAACAATGTTCTGGTTACTCGCAATACTCTACAGGCCCTACAGTTTAGTTTTCATTGGGACTGCTCTCTGAAAAGTAATCACTGACTGAAACTGATCACAATGAGTCTGTTAAATATCCTGAGTTACTGGGACGTTGTTACTGACACTCTTTAAAGTTTAAAAACCCAAACATACCTCATAATACCACAAAAAACAAACATTGGGAATAATTGGGGGAACGGAAAAAAAAATGTTAAGTTCTATTACAAATAACTGTATCTCTTTTCTGTTGAGTTTGTATTTCAAGTTCTGAGTTTTGTTTAAAATAAGCTGATATGTGAAGGTCGGAAAAGTCACTTTTTCATGGGTGGTTACCGCTTTGTATCAGTTCGTCAAAGAGTATTGAAAGCTATTGTAGTGACAAGAGATTCTGCTGCATTCCCTTTTCCAGATCGCTATCTTGCTGCTATAATGAGGCCCTGTCTGTGATAGCATCAGGATAGTATGAGCTTGGCGTGATTCACCTGCCTTTTTATTATTATGAGATGTTTCAGACCTGGATCTTAAGATGTCTTATTTACCGTTTCAGCCTGTTGAAAACACTTCTCTTATCACTGCTGCTGACTGATTGCTTGTGCCTGATTTCTCCTTATCCAAGATGTAAATACATGAGCTAGACACCACACACCTCAGGTCTGATGTGTGGCCGATTTTAACAAAGAGAGGTGATTACTTTTGAAAGCTTGCTGTGTGCAACAACAATTGGCAGATGGCACGCGAAGACTTTTAAAGGATCCCAGCTGGCTCTTTGTCATTGCAGGTTGGGTGACTTTTTCTCTGCTATTTATTTTGACAGTGAAACAAGCCAACTAAAGCTGCAGGTATCATCAACTGTGGCCCAGGTGTACAGCCATGATTGATTGTAACACTTTAACCTCTCTCTGGACTTTCCAGCATGGGATTCCCTTCACTTCAGCAGAATCAAACATGTTTGGGTATAGGCACTCATGTGAGACCCCTATACATGTATACCCCCCCTCCCCTCTCTTCCCAGCCCTCCCATCTTGACCCAGAGAGACAATGTTGTCAGGTTGTATACGCACCGATCCAAAGAGCGTGCCTTTCTTGGACATAGCTAAGTACAGCCCGGTGCTGACAGATTTGATGGCAACAACTCCCACACTGACAGATCGGATTTCCATCAGGCCTGGAAAATAAAAAGAAGGGACAGGAGAGTCTGGGTTAGAAAAATCTAGCTGTGGGAGTTTCCCCATCAAAAGCCACTCTATCATTAGCGATTAGGATACCAGACAGCCATATGCTTTGAGGGCAGAAAGCCCAAGACAGAACAAAAAAACACACACATAGACATGCACAATGGCCCGAGGGAGCTGTCTTTGTGAAAAGACCTGTCTGTCTCAGAGCATTTTGAACAACAGGTTAAGAAATGATCATATCAGAAAACAAAATTATTATTATGTCAGAGAAATCGAGCAAGTTAACCATCCTAGACCACATCCTGATCCACATAACATTTGAACAACACATACACAGTGTCTGATGCTGCACAGCGTCATGCCTCCCAGCTTGTCTCCATTTGAGCCTCTCAACTCCAGATGTGACACCCAGATAATGCCCAGTGTTGTTTACTGAGCGACACAAAACCCGTGTCTGCTGGCCACTTAAGCAGCCACTCTAACTCACTTCACCCCATGAACAAGCCGGCAAGCTTTGAGCTAAATGTTTCCTCTGGGCACTGATTGCAAACAAGTCCCATGCGGCTTACTCTTGATCTGCTTTTTGTCTCCTTAAAGAAAATAAAGGCACACACCCTTTGTCATAGTTACGCCAGGGAGATGTTTTGGAGATGAGCTGAGGGGTTCTGAATAGCAGCTGATTGCTGGAGATGAAACTCTCTTTTAGATGATATTTAAACATTTTCTTGGTTTATTTGCCCACTTAAACCTTCAAAAGCGCCCTGATGTGGTTTGCTATCTGATCAGAGCACGAAATCTTCCTTTCACACCCCCTGGAAACCAAGTCTGTGTAACAAATGCCTGTAATGTTGCTGCTTAAAGGTTAAGAACTGCATTATATTTGTCAAACATTTATTGTTGGCTTTGGATAAATGCTGTAAACATAGCACCAGATCAAGGTGCTGAAGTACAGGGGGACCCCAAGCTGGTAGGAAATGTAGGAGTCATGAAAACCCCCAGCAGCTTCAGTACAACCACAAGTCTTCTGCAGGGCCGTGACTGAGTTCCTGAACAGTCTCGCTGGTAAAACCCATTTAGCATTGAAAAATAAACATCACACCAGGGGTTTTGCAGGTGCTTCTCTCCTGGCCTGTACTGCATTTTTTTCCTACTGATTTATTCGTGCAAATCCAGATTTAGTTTGGAAAGAACAGTAAAGCTGAACTTGGCGCAAAAGCTTGATTTAATATGTTTTTGTATGAAAAAGTGAGCTGAATATTTGTTTTAGTACAGGCTTTAAAGGGCAGGCAAGGGTATATTAATACCCAACAAGTCCTCCAAATTAAACAACAAGCGTCACCTAATTTGTCTATGCCCTCTGGAACATCACATACGGAGAAGCATATTCTTTAATTTACGCCCCTTTTGGCAAAATGACATCATTAGTCTGTGCCCGCCAGAACCGTCTGTTCTCTGTTTTATGATGTGACAAAACTATGGACAAGGTTTGTTAAGGTCGAGGCAAAGATCATGGTTTGGGTTAAAGACTAGTACTTAAGCTTATGGGAGCTTCATCATGATGGTTAAAATAATAAACACTAGGTTGAGGTTGACTATTTGTTGAGAATAGGAAGGAAACATCAGTTTCATTCACACAAACCTCTCTTCACTTAGTTTTGTTTGGTTCTATTATGTCACCTTTCTTCCCTATTTGCTCCCATCTCAAAAACTAAAGCCAGGTCTTTTTCACTTAAACGTAAACAGATGTTGAGCATGTGAGTATTCAAAAACATCCTTTCAAATCTCGTGACAACTTATATTGTTCAGATGACAGCGATATTAAACGCATTATCTCGTATTTTGATGCCGATGAAGATGCTACTAACCTGCTATACAGGACGGCTGCTAATACTATCAGACTACTGTTTCTGGTTTCAAAGAGCACATCTCAAGGGCTTCAAAACTTCAAAACACACATCTGCTGCGCCCATCACTCTTAGCACGCAACTATCTCAAACTCTTTTCAGCTCTGAACATCACCAGTCGTGCTTTGCAAGTGAGGTCATCTACTTAAGGCACAGACACAGACAAGTACAAAGAGTAAAAAGGAAGAGAGACGAGGAAGGTAAACAAACACAAACTCCTGTTGAGTGTCTTTCTTCTCTGGCAGGATTGCGTACATGTAGCTACGTCTCTGCGCTCGCCACAGCTGCAGGGAAGGAGGGAATGCCTCACTCGAGTCCAACCAGGTACCAGCTGCACCCCCATCATTCCTGCACAGCCTCTGATCCTCCGAGAAAACATTAACACTTTGATGGCGGCTTCCTCTTTACGAGCTGTGTTTACAAACACCGGGTGTGCTACGGTGGCACCTGGAGCGTGCAAGGGACTCATAAGCAATTAGCTGAGGCCCGGCTGGTGATTGGAGCACTGCAAGGATTTATGGGGGATTAGTCCAGGCCAATGAAAACCGCTGGTGCCTGAAAGTGGTGCCAGCAGTAATTGCCATTATTTGCTGGTTTGAGTTCAAGGCACAGTAGGTGTTTTGCAAGGAAGTTTGTCACATCAGAGACATTGCAAAGGGTTGTCAGTTAAAACTCAGGAATTACAATTAGTAAAAGAACACTTTAATACTAGAGAATAGTCTTAAATAAATGAAAGTTTAAATTTGGGGAGTCATATCGCGAAGTGTGTAAAGCACCACAACAAAACTTGTGTCTTTGACACATTAAATATTGTCCTTTCTCTCCTCCGCTCTCACAGGTACCCTACATATAATTTCCTTCGTACATGCTGGTGTAGCAGCCAGCAGACACAAAAGATCTGAGGACATGAAATGGGGATTTCACATTGTCTAGAGGAATCACTCGGGCTCTGGACGCTTGACCACACATCTATAAAGACCAGTTAGATCCATATAACTCACAGTCCCCCCTTTGAAAAGTCACTCCATTGTGTTCAAAGCCTGAGAAATCAGAGTGAGGTATTTCAAGCTATTAGGGTTTTCCTAACTGCTGAAATGCAAAGGTCACTTTACTGGAAGGAAACGCTGAGTTTAGCGTCAGGACTTGAAGAAATATTCTGAAAGGATGATTCAGTTAAAATGTCTACTTTTTAAAAGCCAGTCAGAGATTTGAGGTTATAAATACATCTTTAAAGCTTTCTTGCTGATTTGTACCCCCCTGCAAACCTCTCAACAAAGTTTAAGTGCAGAGTTATGGTAATCTTCTTTTTAATGAACCCTGTTTTGTAACATAATCGTCTCATGTAAATCAGCAGTTTGCATAAATAAAATTATCCTTTTTTCAGTGCAATAGTTGACTATGTTTAGAGTCAATTAAAATATGTTGAAATTGTGAAAAAACTTTATTCAGGAACTCTTTTCAAATCCTTTTACCAATATCACAATTAGAAAGAAATTAGACCAACAATAGAGACAAATTAATTCTTTGTTCCTGAGCTGCATTGGGAACTGAAGGTCGCTCCTGCTCCGGTTCTGCTGAGCAAGTATCAACTGATGGCCCTATTGAGCTCATGAAAAAGGCTCCTTTGGCTTCCCACTTGCAATTGGCAAGATCTCTTAACCTTTGACATGTTTTGGCTGGGACTGTCAATAAGCTCAAGCTGCCATTACAAGCAAATCCTGCACTATACGTGTCTAGTCAACTGTGGACTTGCCATTTATTTCTCCTCTATGGGATTTTTAAAAGCATAGAAAAAGTCTTTTACCCACTCTTTTTTTTACTCTTTCTTTTCTCCCCGTCCCCCATTTTTTGGACGTTAGCCCAACGTCAGATCATTCAAGCCTTTTCTGACTTTGAAAAAAAAGGCAGAAAGGAAAGAGAGAGACACTCTCACGGGGTTCCCTTTTGTCAGACTCATGGTAGGGGGGAGGAGGAGGGGAGGAGGAGGGGGGCGAGTACAGGGTGAAGGTGCTGGTCATAAGATGGGGGATTCGGTGGCGGGGGCAATGGCTGTTCCCCCGAATAAGTCTTTGTTACTCACCTGAGAGGTGAAGAGCTAGACAAGATCTTATTAATGACCGAGCGATTTGAATGGGGCTCTACAAAGTGTGGCAAAATGGTTCCTTTCATCACAAATTTAAAGCAGAAAAGAGTGAAAGACTGAGCAAAGAGAGAGTGAGAAAAGGAGGTTTTTCTGCTCCGTTCCTCCTGTCTTCTTTTTGTTCCTTTTCCTAGGTCTTTAATTTCTTGGGTTGTCCCCTTGAGCAGCCCTCCATGGCTCAGTGCTCGACCAGAGCGGAGCCTGGGAATCTCGGAGTTCCCGCTGTGCTCCTGCTCTTGATTGACATACCTTTTCAATTATTTCACAGTTTGCTTGCTTTTTAAACGCAGAGGGCCCTGTTGTTTTTTTCCTTCTGCCCTCCTTTTCAAAACACAAGCTTTTCATGTCGGGTCTGGGCTGCCGGGCCTAATGGCTGTGACCAGCACCTTTGATCTGCTATGACCCCCTCGGAGGGTCTGGTACTGGACGAAGCCGCCGCCTGTGTGTATCGGCACAGACAAAGGCTGCATCACTCACTACTGCTTTAAACACCTTGAGAGATTAACATGAGAACAGGCGCTTTAGTGGAGGCCATCACAGGTGGTGTGATATGGAAACTTGGGCTTTAACCCTTGAATGTACAGTAAAAAAGCAACTAATGACTAGCATAGGCGTGTGGAGAAAGAGGATTTTGTTAGCTTTATTCCAGAGAGAAATGTGTAACCTGCACATCATTTATGTTTCAATCAAAAAAGCAATTACCTTCACTATCACTGAGCAAAAAATGGGGCTCACACTGCTTATAAAAAATACATAAAACTAATGTTGCATTACCAAACTTACTACCCTTCATGTGGCACAACACAGAAAAATTGCCACCAATCGCTGCACCCCAAGTTAAAATAATTTCAACCTTGACCTCTGATGCTGTTCGCTGTTCAAATCACAACCAATGAGATAACCTTTGATAACTTAAGTGTATATAAGACAGACATAATATCAACAT